ATCAGCATTGGTTTCTGCACCCAGATTAATATTGGCTGGGATGACAAAATCAAGTGCTATAATTCTCTCTTCTTGATGAAAAGCTAAGCTAAGTCTGCTGGACCATCATGGCAGGTCTTAAAAGTCAACATTTCTAGTGTTTTTCAAACTGGAGTAAACTTCTAATCTAACTGTGTCCAGAAAAATACTATTTCCTTCTCTGTTTCAGAGATTCCAGTTTAAATACATAACCTATCAAAGCAAAAATGGATAGAATTTCACTTTTACTGATTTTACTTTACAGAAAATGTTGGGATAAAAACATACAGCACCATTTACATTACTTACTTCCATAAACTAATTACTTACTTCCAAACTAATAATTTCTCAAAAGGCTTCATCCAAGTGCTGCTCAAAGCCAGGAGCATTTAGGGTACCTCAGTCCTTTTCCGTTTGAATAATGGAGTTTATGTTCCTGAAAGGCTTTGCTTTTGAAAAATATCAACCTCAGTGTATCTGTGCCATGTCAGATGATTACATTCATAAAGCATATCTTGTTCCTGAGGTAGTATAAAAGTCAGTTTTGTTTGAAAACAGTTAATCAAATGGTGACAAGCTTTAACTCCTCATTTACTTTACAACGTGATACAAAGTAAATTACAAAGGTGGGACTGAAAGGACCCTCTGGGTCACTGAGTTCATCCCTAATTCTGCAGATGGATGTACATGGCTGACGAGTCTACACCTTTCAGTAGTCTAAAAATATAAACGCAGAACCACCGTAAACACAACCCAGTATATGCACAGAGGTTTCTGCAACACTGCTGTGTTCTGTCTTAATTTCACTTTGGTATTCTGGTTGTGGCTAGCAAACAGAGCCGCACTCACTGACAGACCAAGAGTCTGCTGGCTGCCACACATGTTGGCTTTTAGCTAAAGAGGTCAGTAACACCTCCTCCTTCTCACCGTCAGCTCCTGTGACTGTGGATAGTTGCAGATGAAGTGTAACTGGTCAGGACACGCAGAGTCCTCTAGTGATCCAGGGCACTACCCTTGTTTCACACTTAGAGACACAGAAGATAGGAGAGAAGCAAAGCGAGCGAACCCAGCATTCTTGCAGACCACTGATATCAGAGTAAGAGCAACAGGATTATTGTTTTCGCTAGCTCAGCATTTAAAAGATGAATAATGACTCTGTTGTCTTCCCTGGGGACTCCAAGAAGAATATTTTTTGTTCCTGTGAAGATCAGATTCTGGAAAGAGAAGGTGACACACTGTGATCACAGCTTATCTATGATATCAGCCTACTTCTGCTTTCAGAGAGTCCAGAGCACAGCTTTATGTGTATTACCATCCAGAAGACCTGAATCAGTTTATGTGAAAAAAAAGTTGTCAGGCTGGTGTATATCACTGAGATTAGAAATTCTAGGATTTGAAATCCCTCAATGTTAAAGACTACAGTTCCTAGTACAAATTTCAGTCATTTACAAAGCAGGGATTAAAGACGAAGTATTCCACTCTGCTAAAAAGTCTCTGACACGGCTGTACAAACAAGCTGCTGCAAGACCTGTGTCTTGGATGTCGGACTACTTCACTCTTATCTGCAGTTCCTTATTTTTGTCTCTCTGCTGCTCTGTTCTTTATTTTTCTCTGGATTCCTTGCTGCTCTGGTAACCGGTGTTGGTGAATATGGAATTAACTTGTTTATGCCTAAGGTATCATTAAAAAAAAAAACAACAAACCACCCTACCTCAGTGGGGTTCATCTCAAAAGTATTTCCCCTCGAAAGCCACCTTTGATGAATCATTTATTCCCTTTTTTTTTTTCTAAATATAAAGTGAAAGCAACAGAATCAGCCTCAGTGCTGCCATAAATTTTAAATTTGTATTGCAATTGCTGGTTTAATCTCACTGTGAATGAGAAATAAAGCAGTACTTCTTTCTCTGTAATTGAAAAGGCTCGGTTTCAGATTCATGAACATGAGATTGCATAAATACTCAAAAGACAAGTTACATTCATCTCTAAATCTTCATCTTCAAATTAAAAGTGGTCTCTTCAAAAAGAAAAAAAAAAATAATGCTCAGATCAAAATTCTGAGAGTTATAAATAAGGAATCTGTGCACAAAGGAACTTTGTATATTCAGTAGAGGAGTGTCATATGATGGCAAAAGCACATGAGGGTCACCCTGAGGATTACATCATCTGGAAGAGAACACAACATGCATCTCTTATATGAAAAGCATGTAGACAAAACCGTGTATTAGCAAAGCCTTACCTTCTTGGTCTCCAATGTCTTATTAGATGTATGAGAGGTTATTTATATCCTCTTTACATTTATCTTTCCTGGACATGCAATATTAATCCTTACTTAACTGCACAGCCTCCCATGTGGGAGAATTAATTTGTGTAGAGAGCACTCTTCTTGGAGAAGAATTTTAATGCGTTGTGACAGGTAACTTTTTTCTTCTTGCAGGGAGAAAGAAACGAGTGTTTGTGTGAACTTCACCAACTGCTTGTGCTGTGCGTATCGACCCTTTTCTCTTAGCCTTGTATATATGTGCATTAGACACAAAGGGTTTGAAAACAATAGAAAATATCCCGCGATAAAGGGAACATTCAGTGGATGCTGCCCAGTGCTTCGAAGCTTCAAGGATGGAAGTATGCTGTACTAAGTGCAATCTGCAGTTGTAAGATTTAATAAAACCAGGACTGGTGTTACTGAGCGCTATGATGCTCAGCAAGATGCAGTTTGGTGCAGAAGACAGCCAATCGGTGTATATTCTATTTAGCGGAAGCTCTGACTTAGAAATGAAGTCTGAGGACAGCAGAAGTGACAGAAGTGTTGGCAAGACAAACTTGTTCCTATTATGACTTCCTTCATGAGAGACGGAAGGGAGGCAGGTCTGACAGTCATGTGAGGAGGAGAGGCTGAACATAGGTGGAGATGGATCTACAGCCTGCAGGTCAGTTGAAGGTTCAGCTCTATGTTTTTACTCCAACTGTGCCCCAGAGCCCCCTCCCAGGCTTCGTTCCCCACACTTTTAAAAGATGGGATGCTTCTCAATTCAAGAGGAAAAAATGCAACTAAGCAACATTCAAAGGAAGCATCCCAGCAAACACCTTCCTGTTACACAACTGCTTCTGTGGCTGGTTTGCTTTTTGCTGGTAGTGGCGGCCTATCTTCTCAGCAGCTGTTATTCCTTCAACTCCTTTGCAGAGCTGCAAAAAAGAGCACACCTTTCTTTGTTGCTTATGTACTGAAATTGCTCTCTCTGACTGCAGATTACTTACCTGACTTGAAGAAATGGCTTATTCTTAGGTGTGAAGAAACTTACACTGGCCCTCTGTTATACTCTTAGCTGGCCAAAAGCAATGGCCACAACTTAATATTTGCTTAAATTGTAAATTTCCTTCAGAAGTATTCATTGAATTCAACAGATTCAGGTCAGAGGTGCAAATTAAATACTGCCCATGCCCAGACTGTAAGAGCTGAGAGCACCTACAATGAAAAATTCCCTAACTCATTGAGAAAATACAACCAATCAAACCCAAACGCTGGGTAGGGTGAGGAAAGAAATGCACGGGAAATAAAACAACCCTTTTAAAGAATGATGGTCATTTGCTCTTACGGTGCCGTGCTGAATATGTTAACGTAAACAATTGTTTGTCTTAGCTCAATACATTACAGCAAGGACCTCATTTTCCTGAGAGCAAAGAATTTGGATATTGTCCAACAATTGCTAAGTGTGTTTCTGCTGAAGGTGGGCCGTGTCTGACAACTGGGTAACAGTAACAGGTAAGCTGGACCTGCTCTGATGAGAAAGTCCTTCAGAGGTGATCAGTCTTGCTGAACTAAAGGACAGGACTAATTTCAGGGAGCTGTGACTATTTTGAATAGCAATAAATACAAAGAGTTTAATCTCTGAAATGGCTGGTTGCATATTACTGTCGTATATGTTTAACAGTGCTTTGAGGCAGGAACTTGAATGTAATAGATGGGATTCATCAAAGTAGTGTCAAGAAACCCAGGTTGGCTCCTTGCTGGTAGAACTTTTTCAGACGTCCTTCCCCTGGTTTAGCTAGACCTTATTTGTACTTCTTTCTCCAGAACTAGCCCTTGTATTCTGAAATAACTAGTCCAAAGAAACCCATTTTTATGAATTTTATCACAAAACTGTTCAAGAAACGTGTAGATGTGGCACTGAGGGATGCGATTAGCGGGCGTGGTAGGGATAGGTTGATGTTGCTGATGATCTTCGTGGTCTCCTCCAACCATTCCGATTCTTTCGCTGACAAGGCACAGAGCAGTGAGTCAGTCCCGGCCTGGCTTTTCAAGCAGCGCTAAAAGCCCTTATGGTGCGGGGTGGTTTTCTGGGAGGAGAGCAGCAGCTGGGCTGTTCGAGAGGACAAAGCACCAGGGCTCATCTTCTCTCTGCTCTCCACCCTGCGAGCGAAGGACAGGACAGCGGCGTTGTGGACCGTCTGTGGCCATGGAACGTGCTGCCGCCGCTCGGCCTCGCCACGCGCCCTGTGCCTCAGCAGCTGCAGCGCGGGGACTTGGCATCGCGGGCGACAGCCGGTGAGGCTGCCCGCGGCCTTTGGAACTCCGTACCATTTTGGTTTTGTACGCAGGACCGCGGGGCTTCGCCCAGCAAAACGCACAGAACCCTCCCTGCTGCACGGAGGGCCGCTCGCCCGCGAAGCCAGCTCGAGGGGCAGCGGCGGCCGTCCCGTCGGCACCGCAGCCTCCTGCCCGGCCGGCGCCCCGCAGCTCCGTCCCCTCGGGCCCTTCGCTCCCCTGCGGGGCTCGGCGCGCCTCCAGGCTCGGCGTCCGCACCCCGGCCCCGCGGCCTGCAGAGCGGCTCGCCGAGCGCCGCGCTCCCCTCCCCCGCCGCCGCCCGGGCCGGGAGCCGCACCTGGCCGCGGGGCAGCCGGCCCCTCCCCGCCCGCGGGTCCCGCTCGCCGCCTGGGCCGGGCCGGGCCGCGCCGGGGCGGGCGGCTCGCAGCCGAGGCGCCGCGAGCCCCTCCCGCCTCCGCCGCCTTCGGGGGCGCCTCGTCCCGCTCGCGGCGCCTCATGGCGCGATGCAGCTGCAGTGGGAGGGAGAGGAAACCCACCCCCCTCGCCCGGCGGCCGCCTTTGTAACCGCTCAGCCCGGCGCGCCGCCCGGCCCGACTCGCTGCAGCTCGGGGAGCGCCGGAGCGCGGCGGCGGGAGCAGATGGAGCCGGAGGGTAAGGACGCGGGCGAGGGCGGGGGGACGGGAAAGGAGCGGCGCCGGACCCCGCGTCCCCGGGGAGACGCTTCCCGCTGCCTCGTCCTCGGCGGAGGCCGGGGGGCGGTCGGGGGCCGCGGGGAGCGCCCGGGCTGGGCGGCGGGGGCTCGGCGGACGGAGGCCGGCCCCTGGGCGGCCCCGCTCCAGGTGCGCGCGGCCGGAGGGCAGCGCGGCCCGCCCGCCCCCTTCCCCCGGCGGCGCCGGGCCCTCGCCGCGGCCCGGAGGGGGGCGGGGGGCGCGGGGCCGAGCGGGGCGGCCGGAGCGGCGTGGGAGCGTCGCGCTCCGCTCCGCTGCGCTCCGCTCTTCCTCCCGCCGCGGCGCAGCGCTCGGCTGCAGGCCGGGCCGCCCCGCTCGCTCCGCACCTTTGTTGCGGCTCGTCCCGCGCTGTCCGGCGGCCGCCGAGCTGCGGCCGGGTATTTTTAGTTCTCCGAAAACCACATAAAACCGGTTCTGTGAAACGCTCCTTCGCGTAGGGCTATTATTAACTGAGGAGATCAAATTTATTTCCTGCCGATCCATATTTAGGCGTCGCGAAATGCCAAGTTTTTGCTCCGCTCTCTCCTTTTTAAATACCTTTTGGAGCTGTTAGTGCTTCTAATGTAAACCATTTCTAGTCGCAAATTGGAAACCTCTGAGCCGTAGTGGGCTGTTGCGTTGAGCTGGCCGTTCCCCTGAGCGCTGCGCTCTCGTGCAAAAAGAAAAGGAAAAAAGCCCCAAAAATCCTTATGAGATTCGTGTTTAGAGAGTTGGCCGCATACATCGTAGCTGTTTTTTAAACCTCGGTACCTAAGTCACATTTTCCATTCCAAATATTAAGAGTGGTTAAACTATGTTAAAGGGATACGCTCTACCTTCGTTCCCGTGCAGGCTGGGGGGAACTTCAACACAAAGGAAAATGGCTCTACAGTTGGAAAGAATTGGAGGCAAACGTCTTCTTGCGGTGCCTGAAACGCAGCAGCACCGAGGAGTGAAAGAGACTATTGGCAATTGTTAGTGAGCAGAGCTGGGTCTGTTGTCCACGCAGAGAAGTGGGCACAATGCAGATGGAATATGTGTTGGTAAACACACTGATAAAAGTGTTTTTACGCTCGTTATAAGGTGCGTGTTTTAGTTTCCATCCTGTTTGTGAGGATGCTGTAGTTACGCAGATGATGGTCTAACCAGGAGAGCTGTGTTTGTAACGTCACGGGCTGACATGAGCGAGCTGGTTTTGTTTGTATTTCTCCTTACCTTAATAACGCTAGAGATAAGTGATTAAAATTAAATTGAGTTAGAAGGAAATCCTTCTTTTGAAGAAAAAATCCTAATATTTCAAAAATGGAATTTCTCCTCTGCCGTGCTTCTTGGGTAGGTAAAGGCTGGAAAAACCCAAGGAAGATGACGGTGAGTTGCAGACCTGCTGATGTTCCCCCTCTGCCCTGGCTCCCGGGACGCCCAGTCTGACCTCCAGCATCTCCTGAGCAACTCGGGTGCTGGGTTTGCAGACGGGTCCTGCAGTGCAGACTGACACCTGCAGGAGGTGGTGTGGGGTACCTGTGTTAGCAGCCTGACTCCATTAGTTACAGGAAGAGCCAAAGGTTTCTAGTTAGATGTTGGTAGGTAGGTACTATAAATACCCCCCCCCTGTGCACAAACATGTAGTTTTGGTGACTGTGGTTGGCTTTGGGGAGTGAGTTATTTCTGTTTTCAGAGTTAGAGCAGTTGGAGTGTGGTGATTGGTGTCAGTGATGTCTGTAGATGCAGAGCTTGCTTGCTCTTGTGAGTTTGATCAGCTGTGTCCTGCTTGTTGAGCCCAGGCTCAGTCCAGACTGGAGGAAGTTGGAATCAGAGTACCTTCACTGTGGCACCGTGCATGTCTTGCCAGAGATGAATGCAGGACCCTGCCTTTCCAGAGGAGCTCTGCGTCTTTACAGATATATAGATACAAGCCTGCTGGAGTATCATCCTCCACAGAGGTGGGAAGAGAGATAGGAGATGGCAGTAGGTTACCCTTTCCTTAGAGAAAATCCGGTGTGGTCTGGCAGCCACAGGAGAGGCTGACCTGCAGAGCTCTTGTGAGTGTCCCCTGTACCACGTCACTGGAGGTGATGATGTGCAAAGCAGTAGAGACTTGAAAGTGTTTTTGATCTTGAAGTCTGTCAGAGATGTAGGAATGGATTTTCTGTTCCAGCCAATGGAAGTGGTTAATTCAACAGAGCAGTGATGGTCCTCGTGGCTGCTCATGTGGGATGAGCTTCTGTAGCATAATCAAAGAGGAGGAAGAGTCCTAAAGCAGTAGCAGTGGGAGCAGGTTATTGGGACCCTGGGACACCAGGAGGAAAAGCACGGGAGGTCGGAATCCAAGGCGATAACTTCTCACTTGTGCATTGTTTGCATTGCAGTATTTTCAGGATGGGCTTTGTGGCTGCTTTCTGTTTGTTTGTTTTCAGTGCAGCCCCAGGTTTTTATACTCCAAGCTCTACGATTAAGTTCTCAGTTGTTTGTTTTTGGGAAAGCTTTGTTCTCAAGCAAGCTGTGTGGGATGGGGCGACCTGGAGATTGCAGCCTTCTGAAATCCTTTCTAAAATTCATGCATTTCCCTCTGGTTTTCAATGAAAACCAAACAGCGTCCTCGGGCTGTCCTTGGAAACAGTTCTGTCCTTCTGCATGAATCGGTTGGATGGGTGAACGTTCTTGTTCCTGACTGAAGCATATCTGCTGCTGCTGACCCTGCTGGATGGCAATGAATGTATTGCCTTCAAATTGTTTGTACCTACTTGTGATGTAGGAATCCTGTGAAGACCACCAGACATGCTGGTGCAGATGGTCCTCCTTTGTTGATGTGCCCACATAGTCCTTATGTGAATCAAAAGGACGAGTGTTAATGTAACTGTGGTGTGATTAATGCTTTGTTTCTCTTCAGCTGTAAACTTTTCAAATGCTTATGAATAAGATTCATTTGCTTCCTCGGGCTGTTTTGCAAACAATTTAAATATTTTTCTTTTACAAAATAATAAAAACTTAAAGATTGTAAGACTATTAAAGAGAGGTGGTTGATAAAAACCAAGTAATAAATGCTTCTATTTTGCATGACTGATTGCAGATATTGTACTGGGTCTTTGTCTTATTGGCTTTGTGAGTGCAATAAACAATGTTGTAGATTAAAAGTAGTAATAACTACTGTGGCATTTGCTTTTGTTGGCGTTATCAAATTTTAATGTGAATGTTTTGCTTCAGAGACCTTGGTTTATGATTATTGTCTGATGACGAATGTTGATGCCATTTGCAAGATATCTCTCCTATTCCAAATTCCCCGAACTTCCCTTTAAATGAAAAATTTACATCATATATTTTTCAGACGCGGAAACGGAGAGAGTTTGAGATAGCCAGAGATAGGGTGAACTAAAGTACAAGTGGGAGAGAGAGGACGGATGACGAGGGAGGTGGTGGAGCTCCACAGCTGCTGTCCCTGTGAGGTGGCTGCCATCCATCCGTGCTGCTCTCCAACCCCCAGCTCTCAGCACTCAGCTTCCTTCTTCCCCTCCCCAGCTCCCTGCTAGGCACTGAGCCCGGCTCAGCCAGACATGGCACCCCACACCTCCACCACGAAAATCCGCCATGAAATTGGGGCTAGATGTTTGCACATCAGCATTGCATTCTCTGGAGCACACGGTAATCGGGAGGCAGTCGTGGCAAGCACTGCCTGCTTTGGGGGTTATGAGGAGTGAAACATGAGAAGGCCTTTGTTGGTGTAAGTATTGTGGAGGTGTGCTGGGGACTGCTTGAGGGGAAGTGTTCTGCTCCTCCTTCTACCCCCGCTCCCTATCCCTCTCTTTCAAGAAGTTTAGTGTAACCACGCTACCATATCTGCATTTTACTCTCTGCAGTGTCTTAACATTTTATGGGTCTTTGAGTTTTATTCCTCAGTCAGTGGCTCTGCACGTTATGTGTACTCAGTAACCTTAGGATACTGCGTGCTGTATCGGTGCTGGAAGGCCGTGCCACCGCAGAGAAGTGCTCGTGCAGGGAGTCCTCTCCTGCAGCACTGAATGGAGGCAGGGGCTGATGCTCCTCTCCATTCCCTCCCTGGCATGGCCATTGCTTCCTATGGGCAGTGCTGGCTGTGTACTTCTGTGGGAAGCACACAGGGTGCACTGTTGTGACCTGGCTTCCCAGTAATGACAATATTTACAGCACGTTGCCTCTGCGGTCCCTGACCACTACCTCTCAAAATACTTCCTGCTTTTTCTTCTGGTGTCACTGACTTTTGTTGCTATTTTGGTCTTTGTGCAAAATTGCAACCCTATTTCATTTATTGGTATTCCCACTTCCTTGTTTCTGGGGCTGCACTGAATTATTTGGCTTCAGTCAGTGGTGCGGGGCAGCAGGCTGGTGATGGAGCGGGCTGAGCGGGGTTGGGGAGAGGAGGAGGTTTGCACAGCATAACTCAGCCGTTTCACACAGGATTCCCTGTATGCTCCTTGGGGTGCTCAGGGAGGTGGTTACACAAACTCACTGCCTCCAGAAGCTCTGTTAACAGAGGGCTGAGCTGCCTGCCTCAGGGCCAGGAATGCTGCAACCCCCTTCAGGGTGTCTTTCAGGAGCATCTCTGCATGATGGCAGCAGATTGCTTCTTCCATTTGTGTTACTTGGTCTGACATGCTGGCCAGTGATGTGCTCGATTGCAGTATAAGACAGCTGCCCAAGTGTAACTTTCCTTTTGCATGAATGCACTTAATACTGCCTGAGAGATGCAGTGCACACTGGTGGGAGGAGCAGGGAAGCCTGGGCTCAGCGTGGCCGGCACCCCGAGGAGCTTGGCAGCCTTCCTGGGCTCCTCTCTGTAGCCGTGTCGTGCAGCGATTGCCTGGGGAAGGAGTTTTTCTGTCTGGAAGGAATCTGTCAGGCACTGAGACAGCCTTTGTGACTTCCTTTAGATGCTGGTGACTTTCTGGAGCACACAGAGTTCTTAAAAGCGAA